AAAAAAAAAAAAAAAAAACGGTGTACGGTGTAATGAGTCTGACCCCTGATGTGATGAAAATGTTTTGCATTCTCAAGAATAATCTTGGTTTCCTGTTGTTTGTCCTGTGGTTTGTTCACATCAACCATTCAGACCAGCTCAACTTCTTATGTTTAAAGGTTCAAACTGCGTCCCAGCAGCCTCCCCAGTCTTCCAGTAGTGTTCTGATTGGGAACTCGGCCATCCCAGCCAGTCCCTTGCAGGGTGACTGTATCACTAAGACCAGGAGGACAGGAACCGTGCTGGTGCAGGCCAAGTTGTTTTCAACCTATGTTCTTTTAATATTTCTGTACTAATATTCTAAGTAGAAATGTACGTGGTGATTTTCACAAGGCGCTAACTATGAAGGTGATTTATTTCAGAGGAATGTGTCTGAGCTTTCCACTGGCCCAGCCAGCGAGGACCCTGGCAGAGGAGACCCTGGGGTCCCAGCGGCCCCCCATGCGCCCCCTCCAGGACCCCACGCCCAGCCCACGGCTTTGCCAGCAGCAGCGGCGGAAGCTGGTAATTGGGTTTTATTTCCATTGGACTTCATAGCATCCATAGTCGCCATCCCAGAGAGGACACAAGGAGATCAAAGATGGGAAGTTTTCTGAATGAACAGAGGTGAAATATTACTCCGTCTCAATGCATATCTGCCTGCGAGAGCCCTTTTTGTGTTGAGATAGCAGGGCTGATTGACTACTACCTTCATGTGGTTTCCTTTCCGTACATAAGTTATTCTTACAAAGAGAATAATGGGAGTTTTAATAGAGGAGTCACATTTTTATTCACTCACTGTTGAGAAATCAAAGGTTTCACATAAGAGAATTGCTCAGTAGTGGAGATTTTTCTCGTACAGATTTTTGATGCTTACTTCAATCCTTGTTTTTTGTTTCTCGTGTTATGTGTTTGTTTGTTTGTTTTTGCAGTTTTGGGGAATGAACCTAGGGTTTTCACACTGAGCTACATCCCCAGCCCTTTCTATTTTTTGAAATAGGTTTCCTCTTAAGTCACTAAGATGCCCAAGCTAGGCTGAAATTTGTGATCCTCTGCCTCAGCCTCCCAGAGTGCTGGGATTACAGACGTGTGCCACGACGCCCAGCTTTCAGTCCTGGTTCAGTGGAATTCTTGCTGAAGTGTGTTAGAGGTTTCCTAATTGGTGAGTTTGTGTTTTTAGGCCAGGGGCAGTGTGTTTAATGTCTTTTCCAACGTGTGGCAGAGTGAATGGTAAGCACTTTGTGCTTCTTGAACCTCTGAAGAATTAATACTTTAACTTTTCCTTAGTGGCTTACCATTGTTGCTAGGGAAAAGGGTGATCATACTTGGACCCCCGTGCCATGTATTCAGAGCATACTTACTGAGCAGGAAGGGGCTGTTCTTGCCTAGTCCCGGAGGTTTCCAGGCCAGGAATTGGCAAGTCCTTTGTGTGTCTCCATCCTTTTTAGGGTATTGACCCCTGGCAGCCTGCTCCTGCCTTGAATACACAAATACACACTCACACACGTGCACATACATTCTCCTTTTCTGCTTCTTCTTTGCTGTTTCCATTGGAAGCTGGAAAAGAACTAACAATGGACAGGACCAATCACACCTACGAAGTCACCCTTCCTCTCCACACATTTCTCACTCAGTGGCAGGGTTAGGTCATCTCAGCCAATCTGCCAGCCCTCAGAGGTCAGGTGACAGTTGTTTTTCTCAAGGATCCCACCCAGATCCTTTCCCCTTCCAGATTCTAGATAGTCTGGAATATCTTATTGCTCATTAAACGGATAGCAGTTCTCCCTTAATATGTATTTGCTTCTTACTTTACATTTTATATCAGCTTTAGAATAGCTCGAGAAATACATTTTCATATATGAAATAGGAACAAATACTTTATCAGGAAGTCCTGTGAATGAAATTAGTCCTATAAAAGAAATTAGTTTGGGCAGAAGACAAAGCACACCTATAATTTATTTTTCCTTTTCAATCTTTTTTTCCATTAAAACACATCAGTAAATTCATTAGGAAGAATTTAATCCGAAGCATATATTAAAAGATTAAGCCCTGCTGGGCACGGTGGTGGCACATGCCAATATTCCCAGCACTCTGGGAGGCTGAGGCAGGTGGATTGCAAGTTTGAGCCCAGCCTGGGTAACTCAGTAACTTAATGAGAAATAGTCTCAAAATAAGCAGTAAAAGGGCTGAGGATGGAGCTGAATTTAATCCCCAACACCCCTTCCCAAATTGTCCTTTACAATCTCACCACCAGGGGCACTACTGTTGACAGCTTGGTTACGTTCCCTTTCTCTTTTTTTTTTTAACAACTTAACTATGAAACATTTGATACTTGCCAGAAGTATACATAATGCATAGTAAGTTAGGGGGACTGACAGCTAGGAATTCACTACCCGGCTTAAGCGGGAGAGCATAACCGGTGCTGTTGGTCTACAGTCCCAACCACACTGCATACCACAACTTGTGGGAACAAATAGTCTGATTTTTTAAAAATCAGCTTTCTAACCTCTTGATCAAATATGTATATATCCTAAACAGTTGCCGTATCTTTTTGTCTAAACGTTATAGAAATGGTTTAGTATTTACTATATTCTTTTTTATTCTGTTCTTCATAAGTTGCTGTTTTCTTCCATTTCTCTTTGGTGCTAATGCACTGCTCTGTAGTCTGTTCACTTTTACTGTAGAGAGCACTGCTGTATGAATACTACCACCATCACGTGTGCTTTTGGCAGTGGGCACTTGCTTGGTTTCCAACTTCACAAAAGTGTCTTAAGTAAGAAATTAATGTCAGTGTATGGTACAGTGTGATTTTCATGGATCCTTTGATGCCCAGACATATAAATAGCACCATTTTAATGAAGCTAAAAAAGCCAGGAGAGAGCTGAGAATAATTTTGCTGGATCGGCGACTTCATATTAACACTTTGGATATTGGTCTCTTGGTCTGTGTCAATTTGTATTTCTACCTTCCTATCAACTGCATTTATAGTCATAATCTACCTTTTATATTTTTTATCTTCATTGTCTAAATTCTATAATATTATGAATAGCCATAGCTGTTATTTATCATGTGCTGCATGCTGTGTGCTGGTCCAGCACCAAACCATTTTTATACATTTATGTTTTCTAATAGTTTAAAAAATGATTATTTAAAATCTGGAGATAATGTCAAACTTACAGGAAAGTAGCAAAATAAAAATAATTGCACAGGGCCAGGGATTTAGCTCAGTGGTTCCACTGCCTGTTTCACAAGCGCAATGTCCAGAGTTCGATCCCCTCTACCAAAATAAAATAATTGCACAGAACAGTGATGTGGAAAAGATACATGTACTGTGACCTTTTATGTCGAACTACCCCAGTCTGGATTTTCCAAGAGTAGGAATATTTCCATCTATAACCGTAGTGTTGTAAATTTGACATTTGATAAAAGCATCAGTGTGCTGCTGTGTGTATCCCAGCATTGTCAGCGTTTTCCGCTCTAGTGCAAGAGTCTGTCTGGGCCGGGAATTACATACACTCACGTGTCATTTGTCTTTGTCTTCTTTCCCACAGCCTCTCTGTCTTTTATGGCAGTTTTTGAGAGGAATGCTCTGTTTCGTCACCTTTTTTGTCTGAACCTTTCTTGTTTGGGGTTCTCTGTTTCCTCATGACCATATGCAGGCTGAACTTTCTTGGCTGGGGCACACAGCATGGGGATCTGAAAGTGTGCTCAGTGAGGTTGATTTTGATCATCTGATCAAAAAATTGTCTCATTTCTTCATTACATCGTTATTGGGTTTTTCTCTCCCTTTCAACTGAGCAACTTATGGAGAGACACATTGAAGACCTTGCAGATATTCTTCTAAAACTTTCTCTTAGATTTGCCCATTATTGGTGATTCTTACCAAATCTAGTCTCTGCCGTGGTCGTTACAAAATGATAATTTTCCCACTCCAGACCTCTGTCTGAGGAATCCTCCCATCATTTGCCTGTGTGTATTTACCACTCTATGTCCATCCACCGGCCCACTTATCAATCCATCGGCAGGATTGTTGGTGTGACTTTCAAATTCCTATTTATCCAGAACTTTATTCATCTTAGTTGGTTTAATTAGTGCGTGCTCAGATTGTCCCAGATTCAGCTGGTGGAGCCCCTTCAGATGGGCCATGTCCTTGTTTCATGTCCGTGTTTTTCTGTGTGTTCTTTCTTTTTGGCACAACAAGATGTTCCAGTCTCATTTTGACATAACTTCACCCAGTATCGGAGGCAGCCATTCCTTGAAAATCCTTGGTTCCTTCTGGTAGGGAGTGGCGTTCATTATTAACATCTGAGCATTGGGTTTCATAGCAATTTTAAAGTAGATGGTAGGTCCAATTTTACATGGTTACAACACAAGCCTCCGAGAGGACAAGCAATACATTGTAATTCTCACAGCCAGTAAAGAGTGAAACAGGGTTTAACCCAGCTGTCACTGCTTTAAGCATCCTGCTCCTTCAGTTACATTATGGCTTTTGTCTTGAGTTATCTCAGCTTGTTCCCCCCCTTTCTCCCTTCTTCCTTTGATTCTTTCTTCTTTTTTTTCCTTTTCTCTCTTTTTTTTTTCTTTCTTTCTCCCTTAAATCAACACTGATAAAGTTTTGTCATTTGATTTTCACAGACAAGAAAGAGATCCTTGAAATTAAAGATTTATGCTGTGGACAGTGCTTCCAAGAAGTTGAAAAGTCAAAGCAAGAATGTGAAGACCTGAAAAGAAAACTGGAGAAAAGCTGTAGGCATCTTCAGCAGTTAGAAAGGAAGCACAGAGCTGTAGTGGAGAAAATCGGAGGTTAGCACTTGGTTCGTTACCAGTATGAAGCTCTTCAACCCCTGTTAATGTGCACACTAATTCTCCTTGGGGACTAATGTAAATCAGTTAGGATCTTATTTTTTTACTAACTGAATTATTAGTAAACTCAGAAGTGGACAGTTGCTTTCCCACAAAAGCTTCTCATTGCTTTCTTCCTGTCCTGAATGGACAGTGGCTGAGGGCCTGACTGGTCCTGCCATGCTCTCAGTGCTAGAGGGTCTGCTGGGGTCTCGAGAGAGCTGCACGCTGGGGGAGAGGCATAAGCAGAGGCCAATGGGGCCGGGCCAGGCTGTCCTTCCAGAAGGGACTTCTCCCGCCACTTCCCAGGCTCGGTGCTCTGTGTTTGGAGTGTTTCAGTTCCTTTCTGTCCCTGTTGGCTTGCGGATGGCGCTGTGTCCGTCACACGCCCTGCCCTGCCCTGTAGTCTGGCCTGGCTCTCCTTCCTGAGGTCCCTCAGTGGGTGCCCGCTGCCCTGGCAGCCTCTTCCTGCCGCTGTCTTGTCTCATTCACCCCTCAGGGCGCAGAGTCCACTAGAACCAGACGATACATCTGCTTATGAACAAGCTGAATACCAGGGCCACAGAGAACTGTGTTGTCCAGAGAGACCAGGCATTGAATAGGTTCATTTGTTTTCTGCATTCGCCCTTCTCCCATCTTGCCTGGACCGTGGCAGCCCCCTACCCCCCTGCCATCTGCTTGCCTCTCCAGTCCTCCGCAGAGCAGCTAGAACAGCCTTTTCAAAAGCGAGTTGGCTCATGACACTTCCTTGTTAAAGCTCTTCTGTGGCTCACCGTGGCCCTCATCACAAACCATACACTCTTAAATTTCATATCATCTGTAACGCTCTACCACTGAGCTACATCTCCGCCCTTTCTGTTTTTTATTTTCAGACTGAGTCTCCCTAAGTTGCCTCAGTGGACCTCCAATTTGGCAGTCCTCCTGCCTCAGCCTCCCGCAGTGCTGGGACTACAGGTGTGTGCCACCACACCTGACTTCTCCAGCCCTTTTCCTCAGTAGAGCCATGACATGGTTGTCATCATTTGGCCCCCAGCACAGCCCCTGTCTCTGTCCAGGTCCCTTGACCAAGACTGCTGATCCCATAGCCCTGTGCTCTCTCGCACACCCTGTCTTTGTGTTTGTTTACTGCCTGTTCTCCCCACTGGGGCTAGAGTGAGACAAGTCTGTCCCCTGCTGGGCACGTGCCCTGCTCCCGGCATCAAGCACAACCGCAATGTGTCGTTGGCCAAGAAGCCACTACCACCTGCTGTATCACGTTGGAGAGAGCAGATTCCAGCCTGGGGAGTGCGTTAACAGTGCTGAGATGAAAGGTTTAACAGCTCTGCTTCTCTCTGTAGCCCCTTGGTTCCTCACAGAGGCCAGAGGAGAAAATGACATCTTTGTCTAACTATAGAGATAAGATATAGCTCTTGTAAAATTTGGCAAAAAACTTAATGGCAATAACAGTTGGATATGATTATTATTTGTAAATAACTACCATTTGTCCCTGCACATCATGATGATTATTTTGCATAGTGATCTTTGAAGCTGACAGCTTCTGCAGTTCATAGACAGAAATCATCCTAGGAGGTCAAGGGCTCCCCTCAAAACATGGGCCAGTAAAAGGATTTTTTTTTTTTTTTTGGTACTGGAGATTGAACTCGGGTCCTTGCGCTTGCAAGGCAGGCCACCGAAATGCTGAGCTAAATCCCTGGCCCCATGGGCCAGTAAAAGGAGTCCAGGCCATTGAACAATTTTACTTGCATTTTTGTCTTTTAGGTGATAGTATATTTGTGACTGTGACTGCTTCTCTTTTGTGTACTGAGTCCCATTTTTCATTCTCCTGTGAGATTTATTGAAGTGTGGGCGTGAATGGTACAGGACAGGTGTCGCCTCCGTCACCAGGGGATGAGGTGGCCAGGCCCTCTGGAAGTGCTGTGCGTTCACTGCCTTAGTGCTGTCGCCATCTCTGAGGCGCAGACACATGGGATAAAATCTCAGGTTCAGGAAGACTAGGTTGTTGGCCTAGGCTCATCCCACTAGCTGAGCTAACCCTGGCCCCATGGGCCAGTAAAAGGAGTCCAGGCCATTGAACAATTTTACTTGCATTTTTGTCTTTTAGGTGATAGTATATTTGTGACTGTGACTGCTTCTCTTTTGTGTACTGAGTCCCATTTTTCATTCTCCTGTGAGATTTATTGAAGTGTGGGCGTGAATGGTACAGGACAGGTGTCGCCTCCGTCACCAGGGGATGAGGTGGCCAGGCCCTCTGGAAGTGCTGTGCGTTCACTGCCTTAGTGCTGTCGCCATCTCTGAGGCGCAGACACATGGGATAAAATCTCAGGTTCAGGAAGACTAGGTTGTTGGCCTAGGCTCATCCCACTGTGAGAAGCGGGGCTCATAGTTAAGCGTATGTCTCTCTGACACCAAAGTTCAGGCTTTCTGTCATGCCACTGAGACTCTTAATGGTCTCCTTGTCTTTTGGAAGTCTTACATTACTTCTAGAAATGGCATGTAGTTAAGGTTAGTATTCTTTTTGTTTTACAGTGACATGTAGGTGCACACTGACCTTATCCTGGGATGCACGGGAATGTGGGGTTAAGGAGCTCAGAGGCTTCCACAGAGCTTCAGTGTGGCTGGGAAAACAACACCCAGGCCTCAGCCTCGGATGGGAACCACTTCCGGGACAGTGGGTGACCAACCAAAGCAAGGGAAGATGGTGGGGTGGGGGGTTCAGTGCTGAGGAAATAGACCAAGGAATGGTCAGACCGGGCCTTATCGGGGATGGGCGACAGGTGGTCCCTTCTGTGGATGTGTGTGTATACTGGGGACATAGAGGAAGGGAAGATGAGGGGAGAAACTAACGTACTGTGAACTTTCTTTTGTAGAAGAAAATACTAAAGTTGTTGAAGACTTAATAGAAGAGAACAACGACATGAAGAACAAATTGGAAGAACTGCAGACACTCTGGAAAGTGCCGCCAAGGTAGACATTACTATTTTAAAACTAGCTTGTTCTAAGTAGTGTTACATTTTTTGAGACCCTTCATATTTTTCTTACATAGCAAAAAAATATAAAAAAGAAATAAATCTCCCAAATCCCATCCCCAGAAGATATTCTATGTTAAGCCATTGTTTTGTATCATTTAAGCCTCTTTATATACACATACCGTGTACACAGCATGTTTTAAAAGCAGGGATTATTATAACCCTTTATTAATTTAATATGATTAGCAAAGCTTTTTTCCAAGTTATTTGATGTTTTCCTGTAATATACTTCTCAGTAGCTTTATACATTTTCATTATGTAGAAATACCATTTCTTCACCTCCCCTTCCTTCCTTTCGTGTGATACTAGGACTTGAACCCAGGGCCTTTACACTGAGCTACAATTTATGCTGTTAATCTTTTATTTTGAGACAGAGCCTTGCTAAGTCCCTAAGCTGCCCAGGCTGGGCTCGAACTTACAGTCTTCCTTCACCAGCCTCCCGAGTGCTGGGATTGCGGGTTTGCACCACCGTGCCTGGCTACCATTATTGATTTAAGCAACCTGACTTTTAAGTGATTTCTACTTTCCTCTTATGTGTGATGGAGATCCTGGACTAGGAAATGTTTAGCACATCTCAGCTGCTTATACGAGAAGCTACGAACACACGTGTGTTTGCCAAGTGAAGCTTTTTACTTAAGGCCTCCATCTCTGCCATCTTTGTTTTGTCCCCTAGGTCACAGTCTGAAGGGGCCGTGGAAATTGCTTATCGGCCCGGTAACGAGCAGGCTTTGGAAGAGCTTCGCGGGCAGTACATTAAAGCTGTGAAGAAAATCAAGCGTAAGTCCCTGACATTCCCAGAATTTCAGGGAGGGGTTGGGCCATTTTATTGCTGTGAAATGTAAACTGGAAAGTTTCTGAAAACTACCTTTAATCCCATTAATACTATTTGAAAATTTTGTAGTAATGGATCATTTTGCCCAAATACTATGTTTTGGAAGAGGCATGAGAGTAGTTACTTTTATATTATTGATCATCCCATTTTTGTTGTTTAAATATTTGTATAAACTAAAAATTTAATAATCTTACAATCTAAGTTGAGAGGAAAATGGCAAGTGACTTTTAAATTAGCAGGTGTTACTTTCTAACATCAACTTTTTGGAGGCTCTGGCAATGAATGTAGCTGGCAGTTGACCTTTTACTTCAAATAGCTGTAAATTTGTTTGCCCAGACTTTGTCAGTCACTATCAGGAGGTACCAACCACTCCGAAAAACATTCCTCTTATGTATGTTTTTTCAATATGAAATACTTCCTCCTTTTTCATTACCAAATAGCTCAAAATGTATGTATGTCACAACATAGTGACAGTGTTTATATAGGAAAAATGCTTGTTTGCCTCCTAAAATTGTATTCACTTTTTGAAAAACAGGGACAGGTCTCAAATTCCAAATACGAATAGATGCCAGGATCATGTAAATGCTCTGAAAGGCTCTTTCAGTGCCAGTAAAGAGAGTTTGCTTCTCTGTTCTTGCTGGTGCTAACAAAGGGTGTATGTTATGTCCAAGCAGAGCAATTTTGGGTTAATTGTCTACTAATTAGGAAGTGAATTTTTAAACATTTTTTTATCCTAACATAACTTTTGCGTGTGTGTGTGTGTGTATGTGTGTGTGTGTGTGATGTTGTATTTACATTTTAGAAAGATGACCGGAGGTTTTGAGTTGACATGTACTTCATTTTAATTTTCCCAACTCAAATATTGAAGAAACCCCACTCCTCTCTATTACTTTTGCATAGAATGCCTAGTTTTCACAGCTTGCTGACATTAACAGAGCCATTCCTGTGTGAATCGGCTTCGTTTACTTATGAACAGTGACATTCTAGATGAAAAGCATGGTCCTGGATTTAGTAAACGAAGTTTGCCCTGACTAATCATAGCCCCAGTCAAAGCTTTGTTGAGTCAAAAGTGAAGAGAGGATTTAAAAGCTGTGAGTTAAGATTTTGAATAAATTTCAGAAGAAAACTATAAATGTCTGGCAGTAGCATTTTGTACATATCTGTCATGTGATATTATATTTAGTTAGGTACTTAATAATGTATTACATTAATAAAAGAACAGGCCGGGGATTTAGCTCAGTGGTTCTGCCGCCTGCCTTGCAAGCACAAGGTCCTGAGTTCGATCCCCAATACAAAAAAATTTTTTTTCTCTTAAATTAATAAAAAAGCATGGACTTTCAGGACGAAAGAGAAGAAAGGAGTCCAGCTCATACAACCTCCTTTTCTTCTTTTGTTCTCCAGTGTCTGTTTTCTCTTCCTTTTCTGTTCACCCTGTGTATTTGTCTTCTCTTAACTGGGGATCGAGTAGAGTTGCAGTGTTTGCATTTCTGTGTGGCACATTTATGTCATTTCCTCGTTAAAGCGTTCTGGAATGTGACGAGGTCCCCCGTGCTCCCTTCCCACGGTGGCTTTCATCAGTGAGAAGGACCAGCGGATCACCTCTCTTTGGTCCTGCCAAGATGGGGATCTGGAATGGCCCAGAGTTCCCACATTTAAGCTCTTCCTCCAGTCACTTCCTCCCAGAAGAATGGTCTGCGGTTGTCCCTCTGCCCCCGCAACGGTGCTAATGCACTCTCCTCCCGCGGGCTCTCCCCGCCCTGCAGGTGACATGCTCCGCTACATCCAGGAGAGCAAGCAGAGGGCTGCGGAAATGGTAAAGGAGGAGGTGCTGCGCGAGCGGCAAGAAACCGCCCGGAAGATGCGTAAATATTACTTGATTTGCCTCCAGCAGATTCTGCAGGATGACGGCAAAGAAGGGTGCGTTTGGGCTAAATGGACAGCTGTCCCCAGCTCCGGGGCAGCGGGTTGTCACTTTCTAAGCATTTTCCTCAGCCTCAGAATTAACTGCTGCTCTGTGACCACCCCTGGGGTTTGAGATAGGTTCACGGTTGTGCTACCCTAACTGCTGGCAGAGCTATGAGGAACACAAAGCCTAGGGCTCTGGAAACTCATTTTTTTCATTTAAACTGTTTAAATTTTATATCCTGGAATTCCCCACAGGGCTGAGAAGAAGATTATGAACACCGCTAGCAAACTCGCTATGATGGCCAAGCTGCTGGAAACCCCAACTTCTCACAGGCCCCCAAGCAAAGCGGCAGCGGCCCAGCCAGGTGCGTCCGGCCGAGTCACTGGTGGCTTCCTGTCTCTTCCTCTGTGGATAGTCAATGTTTTTAGTGTGAAAAAGCACAGAAGAGCAAGGAGTGGGAATTAATTTATAGAGCTGTGTCTGTGGGTTTTACTTGAACTAGAAATTTACACAGAGGAGCGGAGTTTCCAGTTGAACAGGTAGAGTGAGTGTTCCCACCACCTTCCTTCCCACTGTTGACTCCATCCCTACCTGTGATAGGAAAGATTTTAAGCAGCGAGTAAAGAGAAAAATACGAAATTTTAACTGGGTTTTAAATGGCTGTAATCAAACTCTGTTAGAGGCACCTGTGAGCATATCACATTTTGAAACTCAATATCAGTACAATTCAGAGGCACTAAATAAAAAATGTTTAAAGAAAAAGGAGAAATTGAACAGACCAGAAGTTATGAGAAATTCCGGGAGGAAGAAGGTGGAATCTGACTGAAGGTGGAAAACTTGAGGTCTGTTTCCAGACAGTGACAGCCACACACAGGCGGAATGTTGGAGCTGGGCCACCGTGTGCTGCTGAGTTCTGGGCTCTGGGGACACCTTGGGCTAGGTGGTTGGTGTTCTGGAGCAGCAGTGGCCAGGCGGATCCCCCCCTTGACCTTCCTATCCCTTCTGTTCCCGCCAGGCAGCAGGCAGGGTCCGGGACCAGGCACGTCCAGAGGACCTGGCCACCCACATGCCCAGTGTGCCAGCCGTGAGAGCTTCCCACCCTGCAGCTCATGCCCCCTTCCTCCCAGCGACGCCTTTTAGTGAGCAGAGCAAACAGACAGGTTACTCAAAACAGCTAAAGGATAAGCATGTGACCAAGATTCCCCATGTATTTGCAGAAAGCCACCACCATGGAAAAAAACCAGACTAACCACAAAACAAGATCAGTAAAATTTACACCTAAGGCAACAGCGTTAATAGAACAAACAATGGAACCTGAGAATATTACAAAGTGTAGTATTCTTAGAGACATGACAGGATATCACTGCAGAAATTAAAATATGCTAAGACTTACTATTTTCAAGGAATATTATAGATACCTATAATAATTAGCCATTCCTAGAAAAATACAGACATGTATATGTGTTCAAATTTAAGGAAAACAAACGAAGGAAGAGAAACGGAATATATACCTTTCACATGAGTACAGGAAAACTTTGGAAGAAAAAGTTCAATCTAACAAAATCAGAAAAGAGGAGAAAAGCAAACCTAGAAAACATGGGTAAATGGAAGATAACAGCATCAGCAATTAAACTAACTGTAAATGGGTTAAACTTACTCCTTAAAAGCCCGTGGCTTACCAGTTGTGGTGGAACATGTCTATAATCCCAGCCCTCTGGGAGGCTGAGGCAGGTGGATCACAGGTTCAAGCCTGGCCTGGGAAACTTGGAGACACAGGATGAACCTGTCTCAAAATAAAAAATTTTAAAAAGGGCTGGGAGTGTAGCTCATTGCAAAGGCCCTGTGCTCAATCCCCACTAGCTACCCCCGCAAAAAAAAATAGAACCACAGCTTTCAAATGGGTTTGCAAAATATGGGTATTTTCTCTTTTTATAAGAATTTCAAAAATGCAAAGTGAAAGGAAGGCGAGTGCCATGCCAAGCAAATGCAGTGCTGATACTGAATTATAAAGACAGTGCGACGTCAAGGTAAGTTAGAGCTAGCACTGAAACGGGCAGTGACGATGGAACACACTACTTCCTTCTGTGTACAACATTCATAAAGTTTGAGCTGATAGAAATACATGAAACAGAAAACACGGCGCACCCCGTCACACTGGGAGAGCCCTTACGTGTTTGTGAACGTCTAGAAAACTGGAAATGGATTATTCAGGAACCCACAAAACATTCCTCATATAATTTTCTTCAAATTATTTTATTTTTATTCCTCAAATAATGGCCTAAGTGTGGAGCAGTGGTGCAGACTTCCACAGACTCCAGAGACCAGGACACACTCTTGGGAGATTTGGTATCTCAGACTTTACGCTATGTGGCTTTTTTGTTTCTATTCTGATTCGGGACCTCAGTCATGTAAATCAGACCTTTTAGCTTTTGCAGAGGGGTGTACGTGCGTGCATGCGTGTGTTGGCTTGTTGGGTTTCTTCTGGCGAACTTTCTTTGCCACAGACTCATCCTTGACATCAGAATCAGCCAGAACTGAAAACACTGCAGCCTACTCTTGCAATACTGTAGCATCGCCGGCAGGAAGTGATGGACAGGGTGGATCGCAGTGATAACGTGTCAGATCTCGCCACACTTTGTTTAGTTAATACGTATAAAGGAATATTTTTACAGGTCTAGCATTGGTGCAGTTTCTTTGAGAAGGATTAAAATATACATGCATTCTTTGGGAAGACATAGAACCATAATTTATTCTGTTTCAGCGTTCATTTTCTCCTAATGTGTGTTCCTCTGATTTTGTTTTCCTGGCTTCAGAGATGCTAGCTGAAGTTGAAAAATCAAAAAGAAATGATGCGAACCAGAGCACTCCCTGCTACCTTGCAGCCACTGTCCCCAGAAGCGAGGGTGAACAAGCCCCTCAGAAGGGGGCTGCTTGTAACTTGCAAAGGCGGTTGGAGGACTCCGAGCACAGAGACACGAAGCGTGTGGGCTCCCGGGGGTCACTTCCGGACTTCCGGCTTGGGGACGGCCTTTGCAAGCACCAGGACGATTCGAGGAAGACCGTTTCTCCTGAGTTGGCGCTGTGCAGGGGCGAGGGGGGCTCAGCTTTGCCCCGGAAGAAAGAGCTCCTTGGTGGCACAGACCCTGCCGTGTTTCGGCACCCAGCCGCACACCCCCTGCACAGAGTCTGTGGAAATAAACCCTCCCCGAGATGCAGTCCTGGGCTTGCCGAATCGGGGTCTACACTCGCGGCCTTTGCAGAGTCTCACGGAAGACTGGGCCTCAGGGCGCACACACCGGGCCGGGAAGACGCCGCCTGTGCACCCGGTCCAGGTTCAGGTGTCCTGGAAACTCCAGTGAGGGACAGGGGCGACCTCAGCAGCTCGTTCAGCTGGCTGTCAGACAGCACCACCTTACCTTGTCACAGTCTGGAAGTGTCATTCTTGTGTGACAGGCCACAGGGAGCTCTGGATGTACTGGGTGAGTCTGTGAAGTTCAAACCCTTCTCGGCAGCCAGGGGCCTTTCGGAGACAGAGAATGGTGGTCAGCCGGGGAAGCATCAGAGAGACCGAGCTGCAGACCTGGCGCAGGCCGCCGGCTCCCAACAGGTGACTGCTCCTGAGACTCGCGCTCACACAGCCCCTCCTAGGGCTGATCTGTCCCAGTTGGGTTTCAGAACCCTGAGCGGCACCACACCTGCTCCTGTTGGCCAGCAGCCTTCCCGACAGGTACCTGCTCACCTGTCCAGTCAACAGGACAGTGGCTTTGACAGTCCACTTGTCAACCTGGACTAACTGTGCTGGATTTAAAAAGAATCACTAATATACCAACAAGAAAAGTGAAAGAGGAGACTTCATACTGAAAAAATAGTGGGCTTTGCCTACTTTGAGATGTTTTCATAACATCTTCTCTTATGAGTAAAGTTTTCTCATAAAACTACTTGAGATATTTATATTGCCTTAATCTTCTGAAGGCCAGATGGTGTATGTGTAATCTGCTTTTGTGTGGTGCTTGTATTTGGATGCTAAACCGTCTATTTTTATACTTCACAATTGGCTCATGCCGCTGTTAATTAAATAAAATTGCATGTAATCTATAGACTTGTCATGAATTATTTTGCACTTCATGATACAGACATGTTATGTTGACATCACATTTGAAATTCACCTAGAAAAAGTACAGTGTAAACTTTACTTGCATGTATGACCAGCCAGATACAATTTTTTAAATTAGCTATATTTATAAGGCTGTAGACCTAAAAGAGACATCCTTTTCCTGAAAATAACTACATAAAATTTCAACTCTTGTTTTCAAAAGAGGTTTTGTAGGCTGGGCTGGTGGCACATCTCTGCAATCCCAGCCCTAGAGGCCGAGGCAGGAGGATCGCTGTGAGTTCGAGACCAGTCTGGACTACATAGTGAGTTCAAAGGCAGCCTGAACCATGCATCCAGCGAGACCCTGTCTCAACCTGCCCCCCATAAAGGGGTTACAAAATGCACAGCTTTGTCCTGGTTTCATTGTTTAAAACATTAGTCTGAACTTGTTCAGTTGATATTTTAATTACTTCGAATCACCTGTCTCCAGAGATTTTTGTCTCTTCTATGACTTCACATTTTTCTTTCATTTGAAATACCTTTTAGAAATTTAAATAAGCTTCTTTTATGTAGTAAAAATGTAAAACTTTTTCTTTTTTTTTTTCCATTTTAGTGCAGAATTGGCTATCACTGATGTGGGTCGAAGCTTATAATTCTGAACTGAAGGACACAAAATGAATGACTACCTAAATGCCATTGTTTTAGATAAATTATTTGACAGTGTCGTTGAGTGGAATAAGAAAATTTTAGGGGTGTTCCAGAGATTCTGCAGTTTGGGGTGCTATTTTGTGTATATTTTGAGATTAACGCAGTATATTTTCGCTCACAGAACCAGGCTAACCGGTAGTGGTGGTGTGGCTGGCAAAATACACTTTCCTCCTCCGACCAACCACCATCTCTGAAAAGCAACAGCCTGGAAGTGAAACTTTTAGAACCTGGAGAGCTTTGTCGCTTTAACTGCTGACCGGATGTAGATGAGCCCAGAACTTTGCCCCGGAGGTCAGTGTTTGAGCTCAGGTGTTTCAGATTGATGCAGGAATCTGCTGAAATCCAGCACTACGGGTGATGGCAGAGAAGAGGGAGGTGTTGCTGCCCTGACATTGTGGCCACACAAACCCCAGGTTGTGGTGATGATCGCTGGGTTTCATTCGCTAATGCTGTATTAGGGGTTTCCCATGTGAGTTCCCAGGGGTACTGGCTTCTTGGTTTCTTTCAGATCTTGGTCTCTCCTAGGTGAGTGGTAATGCGAGGTGAAAAGTGTTTCTCTACCTCTGTTTTCTGGAAGAATTTGTGAAGGGCTGCTATTACTTCTTTATATGTGGACAGAATTCACTGGGCGAAGACATGTAGCTGGCACATATGTGCAGGGGGAGGTTTTTTTTTTTTGGTACCTGGGATTGAACTCAGGACCTTGCATTTGCGAGGCAGGTGGTGGCACTGAGCTAAATCCCTGCCCCAGGGTGAGATTTTTTAAGTCAATTAATTTTCTGGTTGTAAAGCTATTCACAATTTCCAGGTCTTTATTGGGATTTGACAGTTTTAAAATTTTTGGTATTCTGGGTCATTTCATCTTTCTCAGTCTAGCTAAATGTTTTTTCAAGTTTGATTTTTTTTTTCCTTCGAAGAACTTTGGTTTTTAAATTTTTTTCTTTATTATTTTTTATTTCCTTTTTCATTGATTCTCCCTCTGATTTTCTTTCCTTCTGCTTGCTTTAGGTTTAATGCAACTTTTTATTCTAAAAGTGGAAGTTTAGATTTTTTTTTTTTTTTTGGTACCAGGAATCAAACTCAGGTCCTTGCACTTGCAAGGCAGGACCCGGAACCACTGAGCCAAATCCCCAGCCTGAAGTTTAGATTTTTGATGTAAAACTGTTCTAATGTGGCTGTTTAAAACCCTGAGGCGCCTTTACCCCACTATTTAAGCTGTACCTCGTATTTTTGATATGGTGTGGTTTTGCCTTATTTCTAAGAATTGAGGATTTTCCAAATGTCTTTTTTGGTGTTTATTTTTATATTTCTTTGCTATTGGAGGATATGGTGTGAGAGATTCCAGTCCTTCAATTCTCTGGAGACTTGTTTTCTGGCCTGCCTGCCCTGTGGTCTGTCCCAGAGTGTCCATACACACCAGAAACAGTATGTTTGTCAGGATGGAGACTTGAGAAATGTCTCTTACATCATCAGTTTGGTTGGCAGTGTCAGGTCTGCTATAGCCGTGCTAATTTTCTGCTTTTTGTTCTTTTAGCTATCAAGGATGACTGTAATCATTAAACTGTCAGTTCCTTTCATTCCTATCAGTTTTTGCTTCATGTAGTTTAGGGATTGGTTGTTAGCTGTAATGTAACCTTTATATTCGTTACATCTTTCTGATGTACTGGACACTTTGTCATTGTTATTGGTCTCTAATAATATTTCAGTCCATTTTGTCTGTCATTACTACCACCACTCCAGCTCCCTTATGATTACTGTGTGCATGCTGTCTTACTTTCTCATGTCTGAGACACAAAACCCATACCACAGATTGAAGAGGGAGAGAATGGTTTTGGTTCACAGCCAGTCAGCTGGCTCCAAGGCAGTGTGGCGTAGTTCGGGGGCTTTGCAGAGAAACAGCTCATGGCATGGCGGAGGAAGAAAAGAGAGATAAAGGAGGAAGGAAGGAGATAAACCAGTCCAGGCCATGCCCCAGTGATCTCCTCCTCCAACCAGCCTTCGCCTCCCAACAACACACCCACCTGTAAACTCAACAGTGGGTGAGTCCCGCATCACAGCTCCAGGACCCAGTCACCTCCCAAAAGCTTTGGGGACATCTAGATATAAACCACAACACAGCACAGATCTTTTGCTGCCTTTTTATCCTATTTGTATCTTTTAATTTGAAGTAGCATATTACTGGTTCTTGCTTTTTTTTTTTTCCATTAGACAAGCTTTGCTTTTTCATTGGAGTTTTTAGTCCATTGAAGTTGAATGTACTTATGGTTAGATTTGCGCTTGCCATTTGGCTGTTTGTGTTTTGTGTAGCTTATGTCTCTTATTGATTTGTCTTTTATTGTCTTTGATGTTAAACAGATACTTATGAGGCTATAATTGTAATTACTCAAATTTAACTTCTTTAATTTTCTGAGTGATGACTGTCAGTGTTATAATAAGCATCTAACTTCTTAACGTCTTTCAGATCAGTACTATCATCTGGTAAAATACAGCAACTTTCCTCTAGATTAGTTTTATCTTATTTATATATAAATAAGTATGATTAATGTTATATTCTTTATAAAATCACATCTTCTAAAGAAATTAAAAATGGTACAAACACATTTATAGTATATTAATATACATTTATGTTACCCACATATTAACCATTTCTTCTGCTCTTCATTTTGTCCTGTGCATTTAAGTCCCCACATCTGTGGTCTCATTTGATTTCATTATAGTATTTCCTTTAGTATTCCATGTACAGCCAAGATGCCAGGATCAAATTCTCTCAACCTCTAAGAGTTTATTTCAGATTTGCTTTAGAAGGACAGTACTGGATGCGTTCAGATTTCTTGTTTGACAGCCCCCCATTTCCATGTCATTCCATTGCCTCAGGGCCACCACTGCTTATGCTAAAAGGTCAGCTGTGCATCGTACTGTTCTGTACGTATGAGTTGTTTTTCTCCTACTGCTTTCCAAGATTTTCTCTTTGACTTCCAACAGTTTGAGCAGGTGTATGTAGGACTGCATTTATTTCTGTCTGTCCTACTTAGGTTTTGTTGAGCTTCTGGGGTTTGTACATTAATCTTTTCTAAAAATCAAATTTAGGCCAGGTGTAGTGGTGCACACCTATAATCCCAGCACATGGAAGGCTAAGCATGAGGATCACAAGTTCAAGGCCAACCTGGGCTACCTAGAAAGTTCAAGTCTTGCCTGAATTACATAGCAAGGAACCTGTCTCAAGAAACACAAACAACAACAAAAAAATGAAATTTAGGAAGTTTTGTGGCCACTATTTCTTCAAATTTTTGGAAAGTTTGTTTTTATTATTAGTGCCTATTGATTTTATAAAATATGAAGTTTCACTGTGTACCCATTTCCCCCATTACCCTTCCTAAACTCTCCTCTGCCTATTCCCTTCCTCTTGTCTAATAATAGTCTCTCTTCTATTTTCATTCCTGATATTTTTTTAGATCCTACATATTAGCCAGACCATGGATACTTGTCTTTCAGAGTCTGGCTTATATCACTCAACATGATGATCTATCCATTTTCCTGTAAATTATGAAATTTTATTCTTCATGACTGAATAATACTCCACTGTGTGTCTGTGCCACATTTTCTGTATTCGCCTGTTGATGGGCACCTAGGCTGGCTCCATGTCTTGGCTATCGTGAATTGCACTGCCAGAGACATGGATGTGCAGGTGTCCCTGTAACGTGCTCACTTAATTCCTTCAGGTACATACCAAGGAGTGGTGCAACTGGGTCAGAGGTTGCTTTAGTTTAGTTTTCTTTGTGGAATCTCCATAATGATTTTCCAGAGTCACTGTACTAGTTTATACTCCCACCAGTGGCATAGAAGCATTCCTGTCCCACTTCCATCCTCACTAGCACTTACTGTTTTCTCTTTTCTCTATGACAGCCATTCTGGCTGGGATGACATGGGATTGCTGTGTGGTTTTGATTTGCGTTTCCCTAGTGGCTGAAGATGTTGAACATTTTCAGTACACTTTTTATATACTTTTTGACCTTTTGCACTCCTTTTGAGAATTATCTGTTTAATTAATTTGCCCATTTATTGATAGGGCTTCTTGAGCTTTTTGTAGGATTTTTTGGAATGTCTTTTATTGTTGCTGTTTGTTTTGTTTTATTATTTTTATTTTTTTTAATTGAGTTTATTGGTACATTCTAGGTATACAGTACAGTTACATTCATTACTGGGATCTTGTACCTTTACATGACAGGTCTTGGTTCTCCCTCGTCCTTTTTTCCCCTCG